CAGTACAGTCATTGAAGTTGGGATTTTTTCCCTCATTACTATGTTCCATCAGGTTGGATTTCAAGTCATTTACAAGGTGTGCAATGGTGCAGCTGTAGGGCTAGGTCTGTATGGACACGCTCGACTTCTGTGTAAATCGTACATTTTCTCTGTTCCACAGTTACAGCGGACGATATGATGAAGTACTGTGCTGCAGCTGCTCAACGTAAAGGGAAGACCAGAGGACGAACCAGATGTTTGTATATGTAGTTGTCTCTTATGAAATATTACTGAGATTGAATTTTTATACCTTGTGTTTTTATGTGATCCAGGTGTCTTGTAAATATGTATTTCATTCTGAAATAAACTTTAACACTTTTGTATACAGCTCTTTGTGTCTTGATTGTGTTATACTATGTGACATGACAAACGAAAACTAGAGTCGCTGTGTTTTGTGGGTACAACCATCAGCAGGTGGCAGCAAACTTCAAGTACTTGGATCAGTTCCTCTCAGACTGGGCACATCCTCTGTGGACAAACACATTTCTCTCGCTGTGCTAAACAGGCAGAGTTTCAACCTTTTAGTCAAAGTATGTAAGTTTTTGTCTGCAATGATAATGAGATTCTGATCCAGCCTTCCTTTTTTTTTTTTTTTTTTTTTTTTTCTTCACAGCTGACCTTGAGGATCTCCTATCAAATGTATTTATTAAAACACAAGACCCAGAGGTTGAACAGAACCAGACCTCTGCAGCAGACGATTTGGCTGCAGTCGTCCCTGCTGGACACGACCTTGAGGTGCAGTCATCACTTTCTCTTTGGCTGCTGCGTGTCACTGACGATGACTGGTTTCAGGGTCAGGTATTGTGCGCCGTGAGTAATTGTTCTTGGCGGTCGCTGCGTCTTTACAGAAATCAATCATGTGGCGTGTTTTTACAGATATTAGCTTGGATGAGCGCGCTTCCTGGAGCTCGTGGCGAATGTGCTCTGTGAGCTGTTGAGTCACATCCCGTGCTCAGCGGGCCAGTTGTGGCTCCGGTCTTAGGGGAGCTCTTGCAGTTGGTGTCCGAGGGCACCGCTTGATTTCTGGCTGAGTGAGCAGACAGCTGCTGGCAAGCAAGGCGTCAAGTTGTCTGCACATTTCTTGATAAGGCTCTAAGAATCTCGGAGATGGACATAAAAGACTTGAAAGAGAGTTGCTTTTGAAGCTGCACTGAGTTATAGATGAGATTCAGTGCAAAACATCCTTAAATTAAAAGCAGATGGATAGATGGTGGTATGAATTACTTTAATAGGCTGGATAAATGTATATAATCCCAAAATACAGTACTCGTAAGGTTGGAAGATCTCTCCATGATGTATCTATACCCGTTAGTTGTTGAGGATGCTGGTGCTTCCCTACCCTGCATGTTTAATGCCATAATGGTGTGATGACTTCATGTAACTTGAAAACATAAGAGTGCAGCTGTTCAGGTTTTCAGCACAACCCTATCCATGACACCAAAAATGACAACAAGGTCACGACATGCTCTCCTCACACCAAGAATGGTCCACGACTGCGAGGAGGAGAAGAAGCGAGGGGGGGTTACGCACAGTCACCCACAGCGCTCCAGACAGGACCGACTGCGGTCGGCCAGCGGGAGCACGTGGCTTTGTCTTTCACCCATTCTTTTTGGGGGACCAGCTGTGGTCTGAGTGTGCTGAGCGTTGAGCCCAGTGATGCTGCTGCTATAAATATGCGTCAACGAGTGTGAGTAAGTGACAGCTGTACAGTGGACCAAGGACACACTGTCTTGGCACTGTCAGGGTGAGCGAGTCCAAAAAAGGCAAAGCCACTGTGAGGGCACTAGTTGATATGTATTTATGCACTTTGCAGCAACTGATGTGTGATGTTTAGGTTGCTGATTATTATTAATGCCTTCGATCCTGCTTTTAAGCGTGGGACCAAACCACGCTTAAAAGCAGTGGTTTTAACCCTAACCCCCCCCAATCATGTCAGTTGGGGAGTAAATGAAGATTTCTTTACTGGAAAGTGTTTCGATTTTTCTGAAAGTCGAAATAACGCGCTCCTTCAAAATTAAGTGGATGATAACAAGATGCGCGTGTGTGTTAATATGGAAAGGGAGAGGGTGGGTGGAAGAAGTGTTTGTGTGCGTGCGTGCTGTCTGTACACAAGTGCATGTGTGACTGTGTTTGTGTGCCCTTTTCAAGTGTGACCACCTGTCTTTTGTTAAGAAATAAATAAATAAACACAGGCCACACCAGCTGTCCCTGGCAGTCTGTCCCTTCAGAGGTCAAGGGCTCCCACCGCTGGCCTTGTTGAGGTGGTGGACACTTACAACTTTCCTCTCAACTTCTCTCAAGTATCTCTAAACACCACGCGCACACACAAAAGCACACAAGCAAAGGCTCTTGGAGGCGAATGAGCTAAGCTTTGAGCCTCAGAGAGGAATGTTTTATTACACCATTGAGTTACACTGCACATATCCCAGCTCGTCACCCTGCAGCTAAGCCCTATCACATGGCCCCTGCTTTCCATGTGAAGGTTTTGGTCCATAACACACACACACACACATTCAGTCACCAGGCAGTTTTAAGCCCTGGCTCTCGTTTGGCAGATGCGAGATGTTGGTGCCAGTGGGAGCTCCGAGGCCTCGCTGCTGTGGATGTTTACAGGTTGAGGTGGCCACCGTGTTGCAGAGGGTCCTTATTTGCTGTGAGCTGGCTGGGGCTTTTTGGGGGGAGAGGAGGGGTGTTTATAAACGATCTTGGGAGGACGTTGTTTTCTTTATGTCGGAGCTGCCTGGCCAGCGCCGCTGTGTCGTCTGTTTGTGCATAAAGTACGTGCTGGGGAGCTGGGCCAGACAATAGCCTGGCTGAGCTACTACCCACGCGCACAATAGAGTGGTGAGATGAGGCCGAGGTTTGGGGCCATGGTTTTGGGGACTGTGGGGGTGGAGGCAGGGGCAGATGGATGCAGCCCTTGTCTATATGGCGTTCCCAGAAAGGGTGAGATGGGATTTGGGGGAGGGTGGTGGGAACCCGAGCACATCCCTATTGGGATCACGTAGCAGAGCAGCTGGATTTCTTTCATGGTGCAGCAGGGAAATAATTAAAAGTTCTCGCCATTGAAAATGTCCAGTGAATTGGCATGAAGTTCCTTGCAGACACACACACAGACATTGGTTAATGTGTTTATATACACATACGTGTGTGTAGTTTGTTGTAGCAGGAACAATCAAGTTGAGTTTAAGTAATAATTACAAGAGAGCCAACTGGGTTTGTCTATGCCAGGTTTATCTCCTTTGGAGAGTACTGGCAACAGGTCAGAAAACAATAGGGGCCCCATCCTGAAATTGCTCCGTCCTTGAGTTCAGTTTATGGTTTCAGAGGGATCGGGCCTGTAAGACCAGCAGTATTATCACATTGTGTTGTCTCTGTACACATTGCAGCGATGCCCACACACACCGTCTGCCTGATTGTTGCTCCTGTGTGTCAGGCGAGGGCTCCTCGATAACGTTCTTGGGTTGTCAGAGTCTACTTTTATGTCCTTGATAATTTGTCAGTAGTAGCTGGAAAGTAGCTAGAAATAACCAAACTCCACACCAAAAAAGAAAGTTGTTCCATTTAATTCTAATCTTAATAAAGACCTAAATCAAGATTGTCACATTTCCACAGCACACACACACAAGCACACTCGGAAAAAAAAAGAAAATGCACGTACAGTTATAGATCAACGTAAATTGCCCCAATATCTAAGCCATGTCAATTCTCCTTAAAGATTGTCCTCTAATCTCTACACCACTAACACTGAAGCAATTTTTTACTATAAAATATACCTTTCTTATTAAAAAATTATATTAAATTCTAATGGCACTTCTACAAATTCTATTAAAAAGATTTCTGTTTGACATTTAGGGTTTTTTTCCTCTTTTTTTTTTTTAAACCAAATTAAACTCAAGACAGTCAAAATGTTGCACAAGAAGCATATGCAATAAATATTTCTCATGATTATACACAATTTCACAGTTGTAACCTGCAGAGGACAAAATTCCAGTTGTTTTTAGACTCCAAGGATGATACAGCAACGAGTTAGGCAAACGCCGCCCTCGATTGAGAGTAGCACTGTTTCAAGTCAACAATCCATTAAAAAAAAAAGACTCAGTGTTTCACATTCAACAGTGACAGTAAAAAAAAAAAAAAAAGTGGAACAAGTTGTTAGCTCCCAGTAGTATTGGCTATTGATAAAAGCCAAAAAACACAAAAAAAGTCCAGAAACAAAAATTTATTCACACACATTTCAAAAACTTCAGTGTAATCTCTTGCAAAGCAGCTATAAGAAATGCACTTCCACATTTTACTTTAGTCTTAAGTTGACATTTTGATATGATTTAACATAAAACAGCAGGGTTCTTTCTTTTGTAATGTTTCAGCGGGCCACTGTTGCTGTGATACCAACTTCACCGCTGCCTTCACATCAAGGGCGAAAACTGTACAGTATAGAAAACAGGGCTTCTCCAGATGCAACACCTATGCGTGTGTCTACAAGGCACATTTGGTGATCATCCTGGAGCTATAAATAAAGACTTCGAAACAAGAGAAAGAATCCTTTACATGATGTTAGTTTTCTACCTCTTTACACATGTACATTAGAGAACAAATTCAACTCGCACCGTGTACAAATGTTCCTTTAACAAACAAAACCAAAACAGACTCACAGAATCTACATCTGCTGTGTGTTCTGATTGAAATCTGTCATCAGCACTAAGACATCTAACTGAAATAGATCTACTGTTCTGATAAGGTACTAAAGTGATGCAAGCATGACAAACAGGAGTGCGTACATCCACCTCGCCCTGTAGCTGACTTCAGGTCAGGGAGTAGAATTTAAAAGAAAGAAAAAAAAAGGGGGGGGGGCATTTTTTGCTTGCTGAAAACCCAAAGTAAATTATTTCATATGCATATTTTGTTTTTTAAAGGTCGTACTGACTGAAAAAGCATTTTTTAAATTTGAACTTTTTCTCTTTTTTTTTTTTTTTTTTTTAAACACTGAGGGGAGGGGGTGGGCAATACTCTTGATTGATGCGCAACCAAATGACGCTGATATCTCCTCAATGCAGAGGAACAATGAAGCATTTATCTACTGCATGCCGGGATGACAAAGGGGGGTAGGGGTGTTCTTTGATGCCTCCAAACAATACACCTGTTTACAATCTCCTTGGCCTCCCTTTGCTAAATACATTTCTCACATTCCAGTGGCTCCATTCAGAAAGTGCAAAGAGAGACTTGAACCGCTTTTGGGGGGGGGACGACAATACCTGTATTGTCATTTCTATAGGTACCCAGTGCTGTATCGGTGTGGCTGTGCTTGTGAACAACTGTTTCTTCTGGTAGAACAGCCATCCTAGCAGTATTTACTGCTCTGATTTGTGGTGAGGCAGGGTCCAATAAAGTCAATGAAGAATATGGAAAAAGAGCCAAACCTCCAGCCCCCCGGGGAAAATGTGACGCTCAAGAGTCTCCAGCCTTAAACATGACACCTGACTATCCAAATCTTAAATGGGTTGTAACATGGAGAAAAAAAAGAAATCATTTGATAAATATAATATATATTTACATTAAATATACAGATTGTAGGAAATAGCAGCCTAGACAATAGTGTTGAAACTATATGCATGCTAAAATCAAGTGCTTCTCTATATTCCGTTTGACAAATCTTGAATACTCCGTAGAGATTTCTACACCATATATTAAAATACAAATACAGTAACTTCAATTTGCACAGAAAAAACAAAACAAAAAGTGGACAGTCTGCCCCAAAAAACAACAGCTAATGAGTACCAAGATCGCTAGGCAAGATGCAATGTCTTTCAAGCTTATAGAAATAAGAGCTACCGCTACAGTAAACCCCTGAACCAAGTCAGACTAATAAATAAATTCCGATCAAGTCTTCTCAGGACAGATTAGACAAAAATCATGAACTTTTAGTGCTACACCCCCGGTAATAAATCCAAACAGCATCTAAATGAACAGACAGAAGAAATCCAAGAGCAGCATCGCTAAAGGCTCCAACGTCCTCAGTAGCAACTTAAAACACATCCAGTAAATTTGTGTGAAAAGGTTATGAAAAAGAAAAGGTCAGTAGATTAAGCTGAATGGCACAGCTCTGATGGTAACAATAGAGAAGATACTGGACATCCACCTGTCTCCTTCCATCCCCCATCTGCCTGCTAAAGAGCCTGTCCCGAACACTGTCAGCAAACCCTTTAAACTAAGAAATGAAGTTATTTACTCACAACTGTGCGTTTTTGACAAAAAGGTTGACATAAGTTTGGTTTATTACATTCTAATTTTATTAAGGGCACTCACGGATTAACTGGCTTCCACAGTAGAGGATTACCTTTGTTACTACCTGGTATGTGGAGTGTAATCCAGATTTTTTTTTTTTTAAGACGCCTGACAGCTGAACTGAATTTAACCAAAAGGCATCACATTGTCATCTCATTCTTGTCTTTGTAAGTACACTAAGTGAAGTTTTGAGCGTTACAGTAGGCACCAGTGTTACAGGGGTTACCTTTAAAATACTCTTAACCTCTTTAAGTGGGTATTCTACGCTCGCTCACGTGAACAACTAAAGAGGTGGTGTTGGTGCGATGGTATGCTTGCCTCTTCTCACAAAAACAACATAGAAACTTCATTTCAATGAAACCAAACATTTTACCTCCACAAAAAGAAAGAAAGAAAGAATACTTCCAGTAGTCAGACTTCATTACTTTTGCTGCCTTGTGATAAGTTTACTTGTTAAGGACTAAACAAATCCCCCCAAATAAATAATTAGAATAATTAGAATAATGTAGGTGTTAAAAATAATCATATATTGCTACTCGCGGACGGTTCTGATCTCCCATGTGCACCAATAAACTTTGACGATTGTATTAACGTATGTTAGCTTTAGCTATCATCCAGTTGCCCACAGAGTGTGAACGCAAGATGCTTTTTTCCCTCATCTATCGGCAAATACACACCTCAAATAATCTCAGACTGACACAAAAGACAGGAAAACAAGTGCATCATCTGATTTGTTCGCCTTCATTGACACTGATCTGATGTTTTTCAACAGCATCCGTGTCAAGCTTATCAGCCTGTGCCACTGACTAACCGTCTTTTACCATCATGTACAGCTATGATGACAGTCCAGCACAGGAAACAGCTTAAACGTTGCTACATGTTTAACTGGAGAAATGCCACGTGGGGGTAGAATCCAAAAGATATGTCTCAGACAAACTGCCAGCATGTTTATATAGTAATGGGAAAATTGATCAGTAGTAGTATTCAGTGTATGAAAGAGACATTCTGTCTTGTGTCGTGGCACCGGTGAGAGGCGTTTTATCCGATGGCGAGAGTCTTGACAAGGCCACAGTGAAACTTCCTGATGTGGCGGTAGAGGTCCCCAGACTGGGTGAAGCGCCGCTCGCACCACTTGCAGGCGTGAGGCTTCTCCCGTGTGTGAACTACAGCGTGCCGACTTAAGTTGTGGGAGTACTGGAAGCTCTTGCCGCACTGACCACAGGTATATGGCTTCTCACCAGAGTGCGTGCGCTCGTGACGCTTAAGGGTGTACATGCAAGAGAAGGTCTTGTTGCACTGCATGCAGGTGGGGACCGAGCCGTCGGGGGACAGCTTGGAACGGGCACCGTCCTTTTCGCGGAAGTGTGAGCTGAGGTGCAGTTGCAGCACGTGGGGGCTGGGGAAGACTTTGCTGCAGAGGGGACACATGCACACCTGTTGCCCCGGGGGCAGCAGTACTCCACTGGAGGTGGAAATGTCTGAAGAGGCCAAGTCGTCTTCCTCCTCCTCCTCGCTGTCCCCCAGCAGTCTACCCCTCCCATCCACCTCCCTGCCTGGGGCGCTCTCCCTCCCTCTGCAGGCCTCCCCCTCCTCGTCCATCAGGGCCTCCTCCTGGGAGAGCAGGGCGGCTGTGGAACCGTTGTTGCCTGGGAAGAGGGCAGCGAACCCTGTCACCACTGAGCTCCTGGCACTATTCCCAAAGCGCTGGCTCTCAGGGCTCATCGGCTCACTGTCCTCCTGCTCTGACAGCAAGTCGTGTTCGTCTTTAACAAGTGGCTCAGTGCCCTGCTGCTGGCTGTCGAGGGCCAGCTGTCCCGAGACGTAGGAGGGGTGTAAGGGATCTCTGCTAGACAGAGGCTTGAAAGACAAATCCAGTGCACAGTCCATGTCATCTGAAGCCCGGGACCTCTGGGACAGCAATACGGTGGAACTACTGACATCAGCTTTTGTTTTTCCAGCTGTTTGGACGCAGGGCTCGGCCTCTGCTGACACATAATTGACACCTACAAGGTCCGGGGACCTGCCAGAGTGACCGTTTGCCTTCTGCCTGCTCTGCATAGACCTATCACAATCTGTGACAGCCAGCCTGACTTCAGTGTTGTCCATGTCAAACTCTTCCGCCGGGGGGGCCCTGTGAAGCCCCTGAGACGGTGTCTGGGGCTGTCGCTGAATGAGCTGCTTACTGTGCAGCTCACCATCTGAGGAATTTTCCCTGTCCAGACAGCTGAGCCCCAAACCCTCTCCCATTTTTTCATCCAGGGAGGAAAGTTCCTTGTCTTTAAGCTTGCCTTTGCACACTTTGACTATATCGTACATGTGGAGGTAACTGGCTGCTGCCAGGACATCCTCCACAGGCAGAGCGCTGAATTCCAACTTCCCCTCATACATAAATTCAAGGAGCAGACTGAAAGCCGGGGCTGTCACAATGTCACTGTTGAGATGCACAACGTCCCTTTTGTCTAGCTGGTCCCTGTAGAAGAGATGGAAGTACATGCTGCAGGAGGCCAGCACGGCTCTGTGCGCTTTGAATCGAGCCTCCCCAACAAGAACAGTGCAGTCACAGAGGAAACCTTGGTGACGCTGCTGACTCAGACACTGCAGCAACTGGCGGCTATGGTCTGGGAACTCCATTCTTCCTTCATAACCTGATGAAAAACAGGAAAAACAGGATACGGGATAAACGAAATGAGGGCACAGTTGAGCTGCCGTTTCTTTTTTCTAAGGACACATAAAGCGAGCAAAACCATACACAAGGAAATAACTTGAGCCAAATTGCGCAAAAGTGTCAGCAAACACACGATAAAGTGCTTTCAAATGCAAGTTTACAAGGTTTTTCGGGACTTAATCGGGAAAGATTAAACATCAAGCTAATGATCAGCATCAGTAACTTTATCCAACATTCTTTCCAGTGGTGCAGGACACACTGCGCTGCGCTCGCCCACCCACCCATGTATCACGGTGTAAACGGATCCACTCTCCAAATTATCCAAAGTATTCCGGTCTGTAGTAGTGTAGTCCGACAGCCTAGCCCTCGCGCTTCCGAAAAAAAAAATAGCCAAAGTGCACGCACACGCACACACACACACACACACACACACACACACACACACACAAACAAACAGCGGTGTTTACAGGACAAGCAAAGCGGGACTGGGAGCGACAGCACTCGACCATCGGGGGAAGGAGGCAACGTGAGCAAAATAAGACCGGTGCAGAGTAAGTAAACTGGTGCTCTGTTTGCTAATTACACTGCAAGCTGTGGAGTCAGCTGCTCTGACATCACCGCAATGGAAACGCTACCTCCAGCTGTGCTCCCCTTTATGCCATATGTTAACTCCGGGCTACACAGTCCGAAAAGAAGATAAAAAATACACACCTCAAGGGGGGAGAGCAGATTTACTGTTGTCACGAGATTCCACGGCATTTACAACTTTTTTCTTCAAAACTAAGTAATTTATCACGCATCCGTGGGTTACAGTAAAAAGGCTTTGTTGCGGTTTTTTTGCTCCCTGATAAGACTCGCGCGCACACAACCGTGTTTAAATGGGTCGGTTTAAAGAAGAAAGAGGGATCCGGCAAGTTAAAGTAAGTTAAAGTTAAGCTGCGTAGAAGTCTTATGATTTTGTACGTAATTAAGATTTTTTTCCTAAGATGAAGAAAAGTGTTCGCAGGAAAAAAGGGGCCAAGGGCGCAGTGGAGCGAGCTTCACGTCCGCGTTGGGAAACGCATTGCTGGGAGCCTTTTAAACAGCAGAGGAACTCGCACAGTAAAAAGCCAACTGCGCTGAACGAAGCGGCGCGGGGACACTCTTTTAACTTTCGCTTTCCTCGTTTCAAAGCTCACACACACAGAAAAATATCCCGCCGTACTCACACGTATTTCTGCCCGCTTCGTCGTCTTTTTGTCCCTATAAGCCCCGGTGTCCTTTCATGATGTGCGGCCAGATGTTCGCTTCTCCTTGTCGTTTCTTGAGCTCCAGTCCCGACCCTGGGAAGGCAGGCTGCACTCAGCGCTGCTGTGTGTCAAGCAGGTTGATAATGGCACAAATCTCGCGATATCGCGCCGCCACAATAAGTTCTGTACTACTCCGCGAATTCACACAGCGGCAGCAAGTAGCAGAATACTTGGGAGGAGGAGGGTGGGGGCATCAATTGGCTGTCTTATTAAAACACCTGTCCTATTAAGAGGGAGGGGGCACTGTGATGTGTCGCCTTTTGTATGGCAGCATGATGGAAGTGGACAAATGGAGGATTTGCACATGACACAGTAGACATTTTTTTTACACTAAAACTGGTTTGTTTGTTCGGTAAAGCTACAAGGAAGCAGTTTAATAGGAGAAAAACGATTTTCTTAAGAGTTTTCGAGCCTGTTTAAAGTTAAGCTCCAGATTTAAAATGTGATTAATTAACTTGCAAACCTCAAGCACACATAAAAATGTTCTTTGTGGCTTTCAGGTCATGTTGTGAATAAAAGAAATACTTCTTTCTCCAACAGAATTGGTATCTGTAAAAGTATCTATAAAGTGATCAAAGAAATGTATTGTAGCACAGAAGGTCAGTGGTATTTTCGGGGGAGCGGGAAACTTATAAGGACTTAGTATCCTCTAAGCCTGCCTTGAGTTTTGGAATTTCCAGATACCAAACCAACACCCAGGGGATTTATTTTTCCCAAGACAACCAGCAGTGTATATACATGTGTGTGTTTGGTTAAACTGTCTTAAAAGTAAGGTGACTTCTAGGATTTACTCTAAAAATTTGTCATCTATTTCAGACACTTTTAATCATTAGAGCTGGTGGCACGGTGGAGGAACAACTCGCTGGTGCAGCTGCTCATCATGTGCGCCCCCCCCCCCAAAAAAAAAAAAAAATCCTGTCCCTGTCTGTGCTCCCCCAACAGCTTCGGTCACCTTTGCCCTGTGTTCCAGCTGTCGTGCGTTTTGAAAGGGCCATTTGCAGCTCCTCACAGCGCTTCTGACACAGAGGGGAATGAGCAATGTGACGGGAGGTGGCAGCCACTGGTCAGAAGGGGCCACTCGCTAGATTCTTATCCACTTACCACTTTATTCCATTTTTAGTTCATTTGTTACTGGTACAACAGGAAGATATCTGCACCGAGGTCATCTCCAGATAATTGTAAGGGAAACGCTGTCACGCTCTCTAAAAAAGATGGCAAGAGAATGGATGATTTCTCATTTATAGCTGAACATCCGACAAACTAAATGTTTAGTCAGATGTGTGGCACATACAAAAAACAATTCACCATTCAAGCACCGATGCCCACACAAACACTCCATCCAAGCAGGAGCAGTGATGTGGATAAGAATAGGAGCAGTGGCCCTGTGTTTCCCTGGCCCTGGCAAACGTAGGCACCCAGTAGAGGAGGGGTGTGTGTGTGTTCACAGGGCAAGACAAAGCAGTGGTTGTGCCTGGGGACTGTGGCCTCAGCAGAGAGAGGCTCGGCACGGTGAAGGTTCTCACACACAGAAAAAAAAAGATAGGGAAAGAGAGACAGAGAGAATGAGAGCGGGGGAGTCGGGAGAGAGAGAGAGAGAACACTTCCTGGAGGTTCATTCTTCTTCTCTGCAATCATCAATGGCATTCTCTCCCTGACCCACTCCTCTCTCAGACAAACAAAAGACCCTGCATTCCAATGTAGCCTGACCGGCCAACCAGCCAGCCATCCAGCCACAGTTGAACCACATCACTCTCCCTGCTGGACCAGAGTCTGATCATAGCTGTGGCTTTAAGCTGTGCTGGTGGTGTCTGTTTGACGGTGTTTTTAATGCATCTCCATAAGGGCACTAAAGTTTATGTTCTTTTGAAATGGTTTTAATATTGGGGAGAGTGATGTTTTTTCACTCTCACTGGCCATGCAGATTTAATCAAATTACCTTTTTTTTTTAAACAGGTGCATCTTTTATGTTACTGACAGAGAATTCAAAACAAAGCTTTGCAAAACCTTTTAACCCAGATTTTAATTAATAATAACACAACAGCAACAAAACAAAAAGCTGAGATGTTATGGTTTTCCTTTGTTTATTTGAAAAATATATGCTTATGTCTTTAAAGAAAAAGTGGGATAGGAGGATGTTTGCCACTGTGGTGTCGTGAAACCGGAGAGATCAATTACTGCAGTTTTGTAAGCCAAATGTATTTCCGTGCTTGTTTGATATAAGATTTCAGCTCTTTAGCCATTCGCAGCCTTCTGCTTTGTCATTTTAGTTCCGTAACTTTCCACATTTCCAGTTTCAGAGTTAAGTCGGATCGGTTTAACACCTGGATTCTTTTACTGTAGCCCCGCTGTTATAATATGTCCAGTAAATAGTCTAGTGCCATCCTCCTGAAAAATACATGAATGGTAGCACATGTTCTAAAACCCTGCATATATATTCATTCAGACTTAATGGTGATTTTAAAGATGCGAAAGTTACCCGTACCCTCTGCACCCTGTGCACAAATTCACTTCCTCATTATCACAGATGCTGGCTTCTGAACTGTTTGCAGATCATCTGGATGGACTCTCTCTCAGCTGGGAGGACACGTCTTCCATTATTTTTGAAAGGAATTAAAACTTTTTAACCACAGCACAGTAGTTTTGTTTTTTACTTTAACTCAGTGCATAATAAAAGTTTTATTTATATATCACACAAGTTTTATTTATATATCACACAACAATCACAACATCAGTCGCCTCAATGCACTTTATATTGTAAGGTAAACCTCCTACAATAATAGAGAAAAAAACCATCAACAATCACACAACCCTCTATGAGCAAGCACTTGGCGACAGTGGGAAGGAAAAACTCCCTTTTAACAGGAAGAGACATCTAGCAGAAACAGTCGAGGTGGCAATCCTTAAACTTTTCAATTAGTTTCCCATGTAGTCCTTCATGGATGTTTCACTCTCTAGGAGGCTAACTTTACAGCAATATATTATATCATTTACCTGTTGCCAGTCAACCTCACTGTAGCTGTAAGATGAGCCACCAGATGTTTTAGGGTTTTTCTTATGTTGACCCTAACTTTTTTGGAAATAGCATGCTGGAATCACATTAAAACATTTGCCAGCTTTTACAAGCAAGGCTGACTGGTAATCAGATGTGTATATCCTCTAGGGGTGATTTATCACAACAGCTGCACTGGTTAAATAAAATAAGTGCACCTATATCCCTCACATACTTTTAGTATCTCTTATACCTATCTGTCCTGATGCTGCTGTTTTGCACGCAATTTATACAACAATAGTTGTGTGATTTTTTCGCTTTGTTTTTTTTAATATTACATTCATCTAATAGTGTAACAGTTTATTGCTTTGTAGTTGACTGGAGATGCCGTTTTGGTCAGCTTCCCCACCGCCCCACGTATCCATTCACACAATCACCTCCTCCCTATTATGGCCCTTCTGCCCTTCTGTGTCTAATTGTTGTTACCGCGTGTTATCTATTCTCCTTTAACGGGCCATTAAGTTCTGTTCTGTACTGTTTGTTGTACTCTAGACAGATACTGCAAGTAGACAGGGATCAGAGATCGGATGAGCCTTTGATGGGAGAGATGCTATTAACTCACTTTGACTTTTTAATCTTGTTACTGTTACGTTTGATCCCGCAAAACAACAGATTGGGCATTCCCATCAACAGGCCAGAGACAGCGGGTGGAGGAGGAGGAGGAGGAGAGCACCAATGAATAGCAACTGGAGAAAATATGGGATACCCTAAGTCAGCTTTGCCTGTATGACAGGAACAGCTTGGCGAGGCTGACGCATGGTAGCAGTGAGAAACACATTACAGCGTGAGTGACAAAGAGGGGAAATGACAGCAGAGGAGGCTGAGAGACAGAGGGCACAAGCCAATGAATTTTTCATCACAGAGGAAACATTGGCAGCGTTTCCCTGCTATCCTTTTCTTTTAATATTATTAAGTCATTATTGCGGGAACTGTCACATGCTTGCTTTTATAAGTGATACATATATTTTACTGCACTTCTAATGCTGATTCAACTTTGAGGCAGTCAACTACACCATGCTTGGGGATAGAAAAATAATGAAGGGGTAAGACTAAACGTACGTGAAGAGGGTCAGGAGTATCACGGCGTAAAGCAAGATAATGGAAATGTTAAAATGGGAGGTCTCTAAAATGTTTTAGACTTCTAGTTAGAAACATTTTGATCAAGTAAACCCAGTCATCTGAGGGCGTCATTTGATACATAGGCTCCCTGACTTCTTTTAAGCAGACTGAGCTGGCCTGTCTGTACCTGTCCAAAACTGGTTTAACTCCTACCTCTCCAGTGGAGTTCTCTGTAGCTGTAGATGACGGTTTATCTACCACAACAGGTAAAAGTGTGGCATGTAATCATGAACAATCCACAAGATTTTTACTTTCTCGTTCAGCTGTTTCATCTGGTATATGCAGTTAATTTAAGAGAGTATCTGCATGAATACAAAAAGATCAGTGGCAAGGGCTAAATCAGACTAAATACACTTCTGCAAACACATTCTTGTGTTCAGCACATCTGCTTTACCCATATTGAAGTATTTTGTTTTAAGTGTGTCAGACTGAGACATTCTCACACTTCATGTTTAGTTGGCATTTCCTGGAAATGTCAGAGGCCCCTCCACAGCAACTTGAAGCGAAAGTTGCTGCTTTTTGGTACTGGCAGACGTGACTGGAACCAGGTGATCGAACGTGTAAAAGTCCACCACCGAGCCTGATGCTTTAGCACTGACGTGCAACAGAATGGAAGCAGCAGCACATCCTGCTTATGGTTTCTTCTTTAGTAGTGATTTTAATATAATTTTACTAGATTACACAAGGCTACACATGTGTCTGAAAGAACCATATCTGAAACTAGAGCTAGAGCTTCACCTTTTAGAAGCACGGCTCTTTACACAGTTTTAAGGTGCATAACCTTTTGTTTTGTTTTTGTGGTTTTGCATAAAGCTTTATTTACTTTGACCTAATTTGACTTATTATAACTTTATTTTCGATGTTAACAAGTTTACACATCAAATACAACTTGCTTGAAACAATGACACGGTGACAAACTTGTACTTTTCTTTCAGATACAGCTGCAGCTTAACTTGTTTAAAACCCTAGAAGGAGTTTTGTGAACATAAAACATTTTATTGTAATATAATTTTAAAGGTTATTAAATAACAGGGCAGATGT